ACAACCTTACGAAGAGTAAACGACTACAGTATTACTCATGTACCCCGCACAACCTTACGAAGAGTAAACGACTACAGTATTACTCATGTACCCCGCACAACAACCTTACAGTTCATACTAGCTACAGTCACAGCCAGTGCAGGGTGGAGCATCACCTTCTACTACGTAAGTTCTAGCATAGTATCACGGCTGTATCACAGGGCAGTCCTAGCATAGTATCACGGCTGTATGACAGGGCAGTCCTAGCACAGTATGACGGCTGTATCACAGGGCAGTCCTAGCACAGTATCACTGCTGTATGACAGGGCAGTCCTAGCACACAAGCACTCCCCTGCATCTAATGTACATAATCTACAGTGGTAAGCACCTGTTTTAGCATTTACATGCCACACACACACACACACACACACACACACACACACACACACACACACACACACACCTGTCCTGTCCTGTAGAGTCACTGCCGCAAAAGGGTCACGTGATCCCATCACTGGGAAACTTGAGAAGAGAGAGAGAGAGGACACGACGCTCGATGACGCTCCAGGTGCACGGGTAGTCGCATCCGCTTGCCGCATATGCACACGTGCTGGAAGGCTGAGCGCTCCTCTGCTGTTGGTCTATGAGCCACCCTTGAACAGCGATGCCTTCCCCGTCCCCGGACACCGCGAAAGCAGCGACCACACCTGTCACAATGCGCGGCACAACATCCCTCCGCCGGTGCCGACGCTCCGGTAGTTCCAGGTGGCACTGCGGCATCCACCGTTGAGGCACACACATGCCGGACCAAGCCACCGCGGCTTCTCAGCCACCGCCCACACCGCCCGCACTGACTGGCGCCCCGCTGCTCAGACACAGGCCGCGCACGCTCCTCCAGACACTTATGCCGAGCCATGTCTCCTTTCCGTGCAAAATCCCGTCCGCATACCGTACATACCACTCGGGGCGGAGGCTCAGGCACATTGTCAGGCTCTTGGTAGGTGCTGCGCCACTCCGCGCGAGACTCACATGCAACATCATACCATGATGCCTCCACGCCACGGGCACGTAGATCTCGGACAGCGCAGTCCTTCCATCTGCGGCGTGGGCCATGTGCTGGGCGACGCTGCAAGAAGGAGCCAAACAGTACCTGTTTTGGGATGCGGTTGTCCGGCATCCGCGCCACATGCCCCAACCACTCCAACCGCCGATGTGCAATTTTGTCTTTAATCGTCTCGGAGTCTCCCCAGCGCACCAGCAGCTCTTCGTTGGTGATGTGTTCGTCCCACATCCGGCCTCGAGAGACCCCGAGGATGGATCGGATGCACCTCATGCTGAAGGTTGAGAGCTTCTGCAGGTCATGCTGAAGGGGCGTCCAGCACTCAGAGCCATACAACAGCAGGGACAGAACGCAAGCATTGAATACGCACCGCTTGGTGTGCATCAGCAGATGTGGATTGGAGAATACAGACCTCCGAAGAGCACCGCAGGCCCTGGAGGCTTGGGCAATCCTTGCGGCGATGTCCCGGGACGAACGGCAACCGCTGTCCACTACAGAACCGAGGTATTTGAAATGCGGTACGCATTCCACCTCCGCTTGACCAAGTTGGAGGGGAGCGCGGTCAGTAAGCGTGATGCCGGGGCCAACAACTACAAACTGAGTCTTCGTTGCACTGATGGTCAAGCCGAATCCCGACGCCACCTCGTGAAGACAGCACAATGCTGCCCCCGCTCCAGACCGAGTCGTAGCGAATAAACAAGAGTCGTCAGCAAACTGGGAATCTGTTAGGCAATGGTGTTGGTCGTCACGGCGGGGTTTACGGTATAAATCGCTGCTGTATGCTGAGCGGAGAACACACACACACACACACACACACACACACACACACTACAGACCACATGCACAGTACATCAGGCATCGCCGGTTGCTCAATACGTATGTTTGCATGGCTGCATGCCGCTGACAACTTACACCATGTGCAAAGGAAGATAACACATCGCTCATCAGGGGGTGGAGAGTGAAGACGGTAGTATCAGGCTGGCTTACACTAGTAGCCCAGCAAGCCAGCACTTCACCACTGCCGCTGTACGTGTAAACGGTGGTTGGAAATTGCAAAAGATCGGTACGGTATCATAGCACATAATCTAGTTTTATTCCAATGGTACTCGGCTTACTCGTCACACCAATGAGACAATACAACTGCACTTCTGTCTTCAGTACGATGTGTGACCACCGCTGTATCATACATGTACTTGCAACTAATCAGACTTCAGGATTCTTTAAACGTTACACTTTTGCCTCATTCATGCAGTTTAATGATTGTTAAACAGGGAGATTTAACACCTTGATTCACTGTTGAGTGGTGGGGGATACACGTTTAGGCACCTTTTAGGCACATTCCCATCAAGTAGCTGCAATCTTACAAATTTGTTTACAAACGCCGCCCGCTTTCATCATATGTTAGACCCACAATAGCTAAGAACAAGATCCTGCCTGGCTTTTGCTGTGTGTGCTGACTCTGCACCAGTGAAAGGGACAGCCCACATATACATACCCACATATACATAACCACAAATACATACTGGTATGTGCACTGTGTAAAAAAGGCAGTCATTAAGGTGTAAATACACGTCTTTCACAAGTCTTCACATGTATTCTCCACACACATCACACTGTAAAGATTGGCTAGCAGCTGTGTAGAAACTTAGTTTTCCGCAATCATGTCTGCAAGATCAATGGCATGATTCACAGGTGTATATGATTGTATTGGACACACATGACTGACATGGCACCAGACTGAGACCAGGGTAACTGTAAACACAGTGATTTAACACAGATACTGACATGCTACATCAACAAGAACCACAGGCAACCATGAACAACCAGTACAAAGGCTACGTGACCAGATACACACAGACACGCTCCACTGGCAACACCAGAACTAAACAGTTCCGGGACTAATCATCAAGCCATTGATCAACCCCATTATGACTGAATGCAGCAATGACATGACAATGACACATTCCAGCACAACCCGGAAAAAGCCTGCTGATTACTAGTATATCCACCACCTATGTGCCAGAGACTGAGTGGCAGTAGCCATTACACATTACACATTTACACTTCACACTTCACAGTCACCTGTAAAAGAATTCTATACACAAACATCACACTTAGTCACCTGTAAAGAAGTAAGGATTGGCATTCACGATGGGCACTCATTATGGGCGGCACTCATGAGAGCCTCTTTAAGCAGGTCACGTAAACAAACTGGATGCTGATCAACAGCCATTTTGTTTTTTTACTTGCAAGCATTAGCTGTAAGTGCAGACAGGACTACACAGTCATCACCAGTCATACTGGTGTATATGTACATGGTACATTCATCACGAGTGACATCATAGTGGTGTATATGTACATGGTACATTCATCACGAGTGACATCATAGTGGTGTACACTATGCTAGAAGAGGTCCGGGGATCCGGGGTCTGCATTATGGCTATAGTATAATACGTGTGGTCGATGAGCACAAGGAGCACGTGAACAACACACAGACATAGATGATAGTCACGTGTGCATACATGACGTGTACACGTGTACAATGCCATGTACATGTATTATGTGTTCAGTCACGGAACTAACACTGCTACTAGTACTTGTTTGTTGAGTTCTGAAGATCACCAATACATGTATGTACATGTGTACTGAATTACTTCATTCACAGCTACACGTAGCTCCCACGGGATCACACCACAACACACCACAACTACTAGTATAAGTGCCAGTAAGACAGTACATGTACTTCTAACTACATGTAGAGTAGACGGTTCGATACCGGAACGCCTTGACAGCTAAATTTGTATAGACCCAAACCGATAATCAGCGTTGATTTTTCACTCGAAATATGTTTGTGGAAGGAAACTGGCATGTTGAAGTTTGCTCTGGGGCCAGAGTCAATCGAACTGAGCCACTCCTTTGTGTTGACCCATTGCCTCCAAGTTGCCCAATTTTTCGCTTCAAAAAAGTTCAAATCAGAGGTGGCTCCAAACCGGACACATTTTAGAGTGCACGTCAAATTCACTCTGGGTCTGAAATTAGGTAATTGCTATCGCTCCACGACGGCCAGTACAGAGTAACAATAAGCCTTGTGTGTGCTTCCATTAGTTTTGATTGGTATGCGGTGCTTTATTGGCGAGAGGCGAGCCGCTGTTTACCTGCGACAAGAAGTTGATTTTTCGAAAGTCGTAAACTCAAGTCGCAGTGCGAAGCAACACGTCAAAAACTTACCTGCTTGGTATGGCGCTTCTGGTCATCGCAGAGCCATGCAATTTTGGCTCGGAGTATAACACATCGTAGTCTCACTGTGACATATGTTTTCTAATCAAAATACCAAGAGAGAAAGTGAATATTGAGTCCGTTCCGGTTTGCAACCTGTGTCCTATTTGAAACCGTCGCCTCTACATGTATGACATACAGTGCTGCCAAACCGTCCGATTTTTCGGACAGTGTCCGATTTTTGAAGGCTCTTCCGAAAACCGGTCCGAAAAAGGTTATGTCCGAAAAGCAGTCAAAATTGTCAGCGGTCAGTACTTTCCCATGCAGTAGCCCTGTATTTTCACTTTTGATCGCAACTGAATGCACAAAACACTGTGCATGTGCTTCTAAAAGCACTCATGCATTACAAAATTCATGAGAACTGCTGGGCGCCATGTTGGTTACCATGGCAACGAAGCGAATTTTCTTCTTATTTTGGGCGATGTTTTGAATTCTCTGAAAAAATTGCTAACAGGAAACATTCGCACCATGTGACCAAGCATGCAGTAAAAGGCGCCAGATTTTGGGCGAAAATTATTTGGCAGCACTGGACATACTTCTGCAGTAGTGGTAAAACAGGTATACTGCTGTGCTATGTTCCAATAGTGCTGATCACTGTCAGCTACTCATCATTACTCATGAAGTGGAATGCCATTGAAACAAGGACTGCGCACCAACAAACAAGCATGCACGCTCACCTACTTACCAAGAAGTCAAAGGACACAGCTAGAGTGGTGAGTGTTGTGAGAATCTGCCAGAACACAGCACACCAAACTACTCAGTCAGTCAATACAGAATAATGATGTACTATACCCTTCATTAGAGAGGTTGCGCACAACGAAAATTCGTAAGATTCTGACCGTCCGGGTTCGAGTAACGAAAGTTCCTACGAAGATCCGTCCAAACGCGACCGAAACAGAGCAGATCTACGAAAATATTTTTCATTACCTGGAGTACTAAAATACTGATATTTTCCAACTCTCTGTCTTGACTCTTCGCACCCGCGCGGCCGCCGCGTCGACCCACCACGAAAGAGTTCACGCGTTGCGCGCAACCTCACGGTTTACGATTATTCGTCAACTTTTTTTCGTTAAAAATATTCGTTACGGCGCTACGAATTTTCGTTGTGCGCAACCTCTCTATTGACCAACTGCAGTTTGAACATGCCAGAAAACAAGATACTTCACAGAACAAGTGTCACGCTAACCATAAGCAATAACAAAAGTTAGCACTGCGTGGTGCGACACTTCGTATTTCTAATTGTCCGCGACCTCCAAAGTAGCCATGTAGATGTCATGACGACGGACCATGGCTAGATATTCGGTAACATACACGGTAACCATGGTAGCAAAGAGAACATAACATGACTGAATGTCGGAGTTATTGTTGTTTATTTTGTTGGGGGAGGGGTCCTAACGTTTCTCACAGCCTGGTTTTGTACACGCCGTGTGAAAATACGACTGACCTGAGCACGAAAATTGACCTCGCCGCCACCTTCCGACTGCTCAAACATATCCTTGAGAGAAGCAAACGTGTGCTCAACACTGCGGAGTACAGCACAGATAGAAACACCGAAACAGTACACTGTATTTACCTACAGGAAACTCACAAGTAAAATCCAACTACAGAACATTGCAGACGCCTCCAGAAAGGCAGCCCTTTGAAATGCATATGTATGGCCCGTAAAGCACAGCCCATAAAACACATGGAAAAGAGCACTCTCCCTTGCATACACCCATACACGACTTAGTTCAGACTGCTAACTCACCTGAGTGAGTCAGAAAACAGCACGTCAACCTGTCCAAACAGAACAAAAACAAGAAGATGAAACAGAAGCTCAGCACAAGGCACAAAGGGAGCATGCAAACACTGGCACTGCAGGACACAACACAGCATCTCGTTTCAAGAAACAAAACAACTTTTAAACACACAAACATGTCCAGACTAAAACGAACAAAACAAAAACAAAAGAAGACACCTACTCCACAAAAGCACAGATAAAGTCATAAATAGAAATTGGAAAAGCTTTCAAAGCTGCAACTAGCCATACTGAATGATCTAGTTCCTTTCTCATCCAAGACACTATAGGAAGTGAGGAAATATCGCCAGAGACTACGTGCTAAAGGTTGAAGTCTTTAGATGTAATAGCGACAAAAATACAGTGAACATATCAACAAGCATAGCATAAAAAAATAAAATAAACAAGCATAGCTCGCATATTTGCCAGTACTAACACCAGGACTAACACCTAAATGACATGTGTTAGTCCTGTGCAATTCATTTTGTGCAATTCATTTCGCCCGTACAAGAGGCTTTATCACTAACACCTAAAAACTGTAACAACAACACATTGTCCTTCTGCAACAGGATAATTCACAAATAATACGTGTACCGGTACTACAGTGTACACATAGCCTCCAACACAGCAAGAACATGCAACTCAGACCTAGCTGCCACATAATTTTTTAAGGATTCTTCATTTTATTTAATTGCATGTGTGAATGCATGCGTACTGTCCTACATACATGCACTTTCATACTAAATCACTGCACTCAAACCAGTATAATTATCACATGATACGCAAGTATGCTACTTGTCTGGTATTCACTCTCATTCCATGTCATGCCTGGTCGCACCATAATGTCCAATACTGAGTGGTAGGCAACACACTTGCAAACACAGAGACTGACAGAGTGCTGCTCTTACATGCTCCTGCAGGATGTGAAGCAAGCTGATCTTCACCACTTCAGAGCGTTCAGTGCACAGGATCTGAGCAGACAGACAAGAAGAGATGCAAACAAGACAAGAACATCATCATACTCCGTCCGGTATAGTCGCACAGTTGAACACACACACTTGCATGCACACACACATGCAAACACATGCATGCACACACACATGCATGCACACGCGCACACACACCCCTCCCCCCTACACACACACCTTTACACACAAGGAACTCACCTGAAGTATATCAAGAACCAGTGAATCCGGAGTTATGCGCCGTGACAACAGGAAGGGACGGGGTGATCTCCTGAAAGCCGCTAAATCAGCTAACCAGCTATCACCGAACACCTGCAACGATGAACACAGAGAGTTGAGCTTAGCTTAGCTGAAGTTGTTAATGTGGAGCTGAGTGCATCCCATTCCAGGTTTCTTAGATTCCACCCTGAAGACTTAGTTGTAATAGAATAGCATGCAATAATGTCCAGCATACCAAAATATGACCGGTTCGTGGCTGGATTCACCGGTATACGTAAGAGCCATCATTGCAAGTAGAACCCAGGAAATCTTTCATCACATTACCTAAAGCAAATGGGGAACTATAGCCAGGCAATCATTTCATTGTCCTGATCGGTTTGTCGGACAACTCCCCCACCCACACGCACACTTCCCTGATCAAGGACGACTCTATGTGCACGGGCAACGCAAAACTCACGGGGTAACTACTGGCAGCGTGACAGACACATAGTAGAATGCTGTTTCCATGTACATGACCATACACGTTGCCCTTTAGCTGTCCAAGCAAAGACAGGTGCAACAAGTCATCTTCGCAGGGATTCCCACCTCTGAGACCACTAGCCTGAAGCCGCTGGGCATCACATTTCACCCCGCTCTCTCCTTTCAAGCCCACGCATGCACTCATCACAACACTGGGCATGCCAACGTATTGCTTGGCCTAATGCCCACAGCATCAACGGTATCTGACAAAGGTCGCTTGGAAATACAAATCAAAACAAGTTCTTGTCTCCGAGGCAACAATACAATTTCACAGGAAATTCTGTGGTACTGCCCTACTGCCCAATTTACCTTTCAGATCTACGTACGTACAGATCTACCTACAATTGCGAGCAACCAATTTCCTTGCTGTATTGTGACAAAATACTGAAAATAATTTACGAGGCCGAGGAGATAAGAAACAGATGATGGCAATGAAGAGAGCGAGAGGCGCACCAATAACAAGGACAACATATTCATATATGCCTATTCCGGGATGTTTTCAAAGTTCCCAACGATATTTGATACCCAAAACATATGAACGATTTGCAAAATACAATTCGCAAATTGACAGGGTGTACGCGTGCACGCATGATGATAGCACTGTGATGGAACAAATCAATCTACATTTGTAGTCAACAGCTAAAGTCTAGATACATTATGTACATTTTTTTCTACAAAGAACACAAACCCGGCTCGAGACAAAAATAAGAACAAGAAGGATAACAAAGTTGCATGCAGGGAGAACGAAGAAACGACTAGAACACAGAAGTTGTGGGTTGACAGAACAAAAAACTATTGAGTCGGGGCTGACTACTAGTATCCACTAGCGCAGCTGTGTAGGTAGGGCGTTGTGGACTCCTCCGTCCTTGCACACAACGCGCACCAGGGGGGAGGGGGGAGTAAAAAAGAAAGAAAGAAGAAAGAGTTAGGCCATAGTACTGGCAATCCCCCATGCAACCTAGAAACAGACCATATTACACATTACTACATGTACTGCCTAAAAAGTGATGTGCCAAGATAGTACTTTCATTACAAGTAGCATGAACTTCTGAGTCACGACATACATCTTTGTTCAATTTTGTCGCTTTTGTGCAAAGTATGGCGCTTCATTTTATTATGTACTCAACCATTGACTATAGCAATGGATATTACCAAGAGTCCATAAACAAGAGTATGCAACTGCGATCTCTTTTCTATGGGCCAGATGCGCGGCGAGCTGCCTTCGTTACATCATGCAGCTGCAGTCCTATTTCGTGCACTGCGGAAAATCAAACACCACATTTTTAATCTGGTTTGAAATGAACTTTCGTACGGAACTGAAGTTCACGGGCCCAGAATTTAAAGATCGCACGGGTACTCGAACGAACCAAGCAAAAACGGTTGTGCTGGTGCATGATATTGTGGGTTTGAATGCATGCTGTTCAGAGCGTGATGGAGACAGGTTATAATGAAGGCGGCATGCCATGCACAGACCCATAACCATAGTTGCATACTCTTGTTTACGGACTCTTGATATTACCTCCTCTGTGCGTTGTTGAATACTGAACTTTTAGGATACCAGTAAACCCAGGGGCGTCACACACGCTACGACCAGTACGACCCAGGTCGTACCACTTTTCGTCCTGGGTAGTCCACCCAGAGCGCTAAAACGTGCCCTGTTTGGTGAAAAACCGATTCACCACCCCCCCCCCCCCCCCCCCCCGGCGCTCCTGGACCCCGGTCGCGGTCGTACCACTCCCCACTGCCCTGTAACACCCCTTTGGTACCGTAACCATCGGTACTCAATTCCATTGTGGAGAATTGATTGCTAGAACAAATTGGAAGCGTCTCCAATTCTTCAGTGTAGCACATGCATCTGCGCCATCCACACCAGTCCCAATGAACACTAGGAAACTTTAGAACCGATCGGTGCAGACGCATGTGCTACATTGGAGAATTGATTGAATTGTGAAATAATTTAATTCATCTCCACTTCAGAAGCTCTTCCGTAACATCTCAGAATATTTTCAAACTTATGATTCTAATACAGCAGTAAACGTGCACAGTAATATCGTGTAGTTCTGAGGTGGGAACATAATATATACCTGGTCCATCCTGACTTCAGGCAGCAGCAGGAGGAAGATTGAACAACACGCACGAAAACTACGTCAGCCCACAGCATCCAAAGAAAATATTTCGTCGCCAAGAATTCAAGTGATTCTCCAGCTACACAGCTGAACGAACGCTGGCTCGAGAGGGTATGTATCCCGTTCCTGGTCTGCTGCAATAACCAGATGAAAAATATCATGCACACGTAAAATGCAGCTACAAGTGTAGAAATATCGCTTCAAAATTTCGAACCACAAACATGTACAAAATTTTATGGCCAAAAGACAGGATTTTTCCGCGGAATCCGGGCGCGTTTTTCTTCTTTTTCTGAATGAATGAGATCGAGACATCACATGCCATGGTCATCGGTCACATGTCACATGATGGGTGCGTTCGTTTCGAGTCATGGACATGGGTTTCTGTGGACTCCACAGAGAAGAGTTCAGTGGAGGGCGATCCGGATCGCAATCGGACAGCAAACATGCCGGTGGAGCAGCCCGCCGAGCAGGGAGTACTAAAAACCAGCAGCAGCAACAGCAACAGCAACACCATCACCACCACCACCAACAGCAGCAGCAGCAGCAGCAGCAGCAACAGCAACAGCCCTCTGAAGCAGATGCTGCCTAAACCAGCCACTCACCGTGCCCCCGAGACAAGACCTACCCGTCAGTCTCTCCAGCTGCAGGATTCCCATCCATACCAGATGACAACTGGCCTGCCTGCCAACACCCGGAATAGCTGTCTCCAAGGATTCCCTGCTTGCACCGTTGCAACATGGAATGCCCTGCCACCAGACCTGTTCCACCACCCACCCGCCCAGCCCCACATGCAAAGCTTTAAGAAAAAGGTGTACCGTCACCTTCTTGCTCAGGACTGGCTCTCTGCTACTGATGCACTTTGAATCTGCTCGCCAACGCTTTCCCTGTTCTTATTAGTGTTCAGCTGCTTACCTTATAACCCTGCTGCCATCATCACCAATATTCTGATTCTCATGCACATGTCCCAGAACCTGCTATCCTTCGCATTCCCCATCACCAAGAGCACTGTGCTCTTCTATCTCCCAGCTCTCTCTCTCTCTCTCTCTCTCTCTCTCTCTCTCTCTCTCTCTCTCTCTCTCTCTCTCTCTCTCTCTTTCTTCCCTTCTTCTCCCCCCCCCCCCATCTCCCGATAATTATTAGCCCCCGTTTTCTTTCGACGCGTTTGCTGTGCAGTGAAGCCGAGACCCTAGGTCGGTGGAGCAGCAGCAACAGCAATAGCAACAGCAACAGCAACCGTGAGCAACAGCAACAGCACCAACAGCAGCAGCAACAGCAACAACAACAACAACAACAACAACAACAACAACAACATCGTGTAGATTGGCGCAGTGAACCGGCAGTCAAGCATCTGGACGCTATGGCCGGCCACCCAAGGAATTTCATCCTGACTTTGGACAAGACACGGGTGCCGACTTGGACCTATGGCTGGAGGATGTGAACGACTACATGAAGATCTGTCAAGTTTCGACTCCAGAGGACAAGAAGTGTCTCTTCTTGAATCTGGCTGGTCTTGGGATCAGGAAGATTGTCAAGGGTCTGGTTGTTCCCGCTCCAAGTGATGTAACACACGACGACCCAGGAGACACATACATAGCCCTTACAGAGGCAGTCCGTGCTCATTTTCGCCCATCCAGAAACACGACGTCTGAAAGGCACAAATTTCGGCAGATTAAGCAGACGCCAGATGAATCTGTCTCCACCTTCGTTAGTCGGTTACGCGAGAAGGTGGCGTGGTGTGACTTTGCAGCGACAGACGTGGACTCGGTCGTCAACACACAGGCGCGTGACCAACTGATTGCAGGGTTGCGATCGCAGGAGCTGCGACAGGAACGGCTAAAGGGGGCAAAGCTAACGCTAGCGGATGCCGTTTCAAAGGACGAAAGTCGGACGAGTCCAGGAGGCTTGGAGACATCAGCGCCTAGAGGACCAGAATTGGCTGCTGTAGTTTCGGGCAGCGTCTCGGGTGGAATCGGAAGTGGCGACCGGCGCGCCATGGGGAAGACGTCCACCAAGAGCCTAGGATGCAAATACTGTGGTCGTGTACATGCCAAAGGCAAGCAATTTTGCTCAGCTGCAAATGTAAGGTGTCGGGACTGTGGCAAAGTAGGTCATTTCGCAGCAGTCTGCCTCTCCGGCAAAGCTCATGCGGTGCAGGATGAGGACAGTGAAGCCGCGCGAATTGTGTAAGATTCGATTTACGTTTGCAGCGACAAGGCAGCCAGTGGTCAATTCACTATGACGCTCATGGTGAATGGCAGCCCGTGCGAGGGACTTCTCGATACCGGCGCAACACGGACAATCCTGACGGATGATGTGGTACAGCCCACTCACTGCAGTGATCGTAAGCTGCTGCGCGTACAATGGCGGCGAAGTCAAGACCCTTGGCATGGCGGATGTCGATGTTGCCGTCGGGGAAAGGTCAATCCAGTGCGACTGTTTCGTTGTACCGGCAGGCCGGCGAACTGTACTGTTTGGCCAGGATGTTATCGCACAACTGGAGCTGCTGGTGAACGCCCACCTGGCAGACACAGCACGGCTGGTGGCCGGCACTGGTGGACACTGCTCCCGTGTCCATCAATGTCGACCAGAAAGCATGGCCTGTGGCGCAGCCAGCTCGTCGTCCACTGTTCAGCGCCAAGGCTGACATTGAAAAGGAGCTGACGCGATTAGTGAAAGCGGACATCATTGAACCAGTGAAAGAGGCGTCGCCCTGGGTGTCGCCTGTCGTCCCTGTGCGTAAGTCGAATGGTTCACTCCGATTATGCGTAGATTATCGGCAATTGAACAAATCTATCATTAGGGAGCGGCACTGCTTACCTACTGTAGATGAGATCACGGGAGAGCTAGCAGGCGCGCAGGTCTTCTCAGTATTAGACGTGGAATCTGGTTTTCATCAATTGCTACTAGAGGAAGAATCCCGATTCTTCACATCCTTTGCTTCGCATTGCGGCTTATACCGATTTAAGAGGTTGCCGTTTGGCATCTCTTGCACTCCTGAAATTTTTCAACGTGTTGTTTCTGACATCTTGGCTGGTTTACCCGGTGTTACTGTCTATATAGACGACATCTTGATCTTTGGCAAGAATCGAGTGGAACATGATGCTCGTTTAGCGAGTGTTCTAGAGCGTCTGAGGGCAGCGAACCTCAAACTGAACTGGGACAAGTGTCACATCGGCAAGGATCAGGTGAAGTACCTCGGACAAATGCTAACCAAAGACGGAGTTCAAGCCGACAGCAGCAAGCTCAGCGCTATTTCCGAGATGGCACCACCAAAGCCAGTGGCAGATGCTCAGCGCTTCCTAGGTATGGTCACCTACCCAGGAAGCGCTGAACAACAACAACAACAACAACAACAACAACAACTAAAACCATGCAGACAGCGTAGTACAAGTCACGCAGTGTAGAGCCGGGGGGAGAGAGAGAGAGAGAGAGAGAGAGAGAGAGAGAGAGAGAGAGAGAGAGAGAGAGAGAGAGAGAGAGAGAGAGAGAGAGAGAGAGAGAGAGAGAGAGAGAGAGAGAGAGAGAGAGAGAGAGAGAGAGAGAGAGAGATAGATAGATAGAGAGAGAGAGAGAACATCTCTGGCGTTGATTGCTTTCTTGCTTAGACTTCTGCCACGCCTTTGTTCTCGTACTCCCCTCTATGTACATGTACTAGTGTTGTGCAAACCCTCCTTCTAGTCTGTCCCATTTTGCCCGGAGATGTTTTGATGCGTAGGATTATGACGCTCATCATTCGCTCCCTTGTCACTGGACAGTTCTGTCCTCAGTTTGGTTTTAGCGAATTCAAATAAAGAAAACAACAACAGCTCAACTGATGAGGCCGGGGTGAATTCTCCGAAACACTGAGTAGGGAGTGGTGCTTTCTCGCAGGGTTGCGGAGTCGAAGGTTCGATGGACTTCTCGTGTGCTCTGGATGGCAGTCGTGAGTCAGTCAAGTGTCAAGTCAAGTCGGCGGAATAGCGCGAGCTCCAGTGTGGGGAGCAAACTTGAGGATGGGTGCCCGGGTACTGATCATGCCGGTATAGTATTAATTCATATTTCTCTTGGGCAGTCCCCACAGACCTATGGTCTCCTTACGGGGTACCCTAGCCGATATGTATGCCAGGAGCGACCGGAGAGGAGAGAACTCTCCTGGCATATACATGTATACCGGCATGGTCAGTACCACTTCATCATGTTGCTTGATGATTGCAAAAGCATGAAACTTTGAAAGTACGAGTAGCTAGCAGCAAACAAGCCTGGAGTGCCCTTATTGTTCTGTCTTACGCTCTTACTCTGCGGTGTTGAGCACTGAACTGTCAGCACACTGGGTGCATTCTCCGGTAAAAATAATAATTATTATATAACAATTGTCACTTTCGTATGATCAGGAATAGGGAAAGAGGTAGCGACACAGCTATGCATGGTCCACCACTGGTCATGACCATCTCCAGAAGAACCTTGTCTATTAGCCAAGTACATTGTATAGTACTATAGGGTCAGAGACTTTGATTCTAAAAGTGTTCGATACACGACGTGCAGAGCTTCAGTACACTTGAAAAGAAATCATCAGAGGAGCGATCATTATCACCGCGACCCCATACATGTAGACATGTGCTTCAGATTGAACCAACAATATTATTATTGTGTGGCTTGGTGGTCACCATGGTCACTGACTCCCGTGACTGAGTGAGAGCATCGCTGGCCATAAGGCATAACTGAGGTCCCCTGACTCCCTGGTTCGAGTCCTGGTGGTGACAGTCGAGTTTTCCTTTGGGCTTTTCCCGTTTGCAACTTCAGTCCTTCCTAGCAAACTAATGAGTAGTTTGTTACTGGCACCTTCGCAATGTAACCGGGTTTGCATACTTCGCTTGTAACATTCAGGACAATAAAGAAGCAGAAATTACAGGGAGACAAAGCCATGAGAATCCGTGAGAGCACTGAAAAAAGTGATTGAATCCGGTGATTTATTGAGTGTTGTGGAATTGGGCGACCAGCAGTTTAGCTACTGAAAACGTCACGCCTGATACCAAGTAAAGAGTCTAAAGACTTCTCTCTTGTCCAAGGCCAATGGCCATCGTGGAAACCAGGGTCCAGGGA